CAACTGTGTACTGTCACCATGGTAACAGATACCGCTCTAACACCATGGTAACCGATGGTAACGGGTAGAACTGCGGCTAAACTAGAACGCTGCTAACGCTAACTTTAGATAGAACGAGAGACTGAACAAAATTAACTCAACTTTTTTATTTGTTTGAATACTATTTAGTTGTGCACATCCTAAAACAAAATGGACACGTCTGTTATTCTACCAGTCGAAGCAGAAGGTTTAATTCAGAGTTTGACGACTTTTACTCTAAAAGACGTGGGATCTTCTGGGTAAGAGAAATAACTCAGTTGTTTTCTAGCTAGCTAAGTTAGTCATACTTCGGGCTATCTTATATTTTTGTAAAGAAACAGGACTATGGATTTGCATGTATTGGTTTCATTTGTGTACGTTGTTTTCTGTTTCATGTTGATATCTCCTCTGGTGTTGCAGATGGTTCAAGCAGCATGAGTACATTGAAAAACTGAACATGCAGGCCATTGTAAGTGCTACTGCCAAGCATGATGAATTTGTGAAAGAGCTTTTGGTGTCCCATGGAAAGGTAATTACCTAAAATATGTTAACTAACTATAATATTGCATTGTCATTGTATAACCTACAGTACTTTTTTCTAGATTGCAGTGCTTGTTCATGAGATGATTCTGATTGAGGTCTGGAAACACAAAGTCTTCCCTATTTTATGTCAACTTCAAGATTTTAAGCCCCAAAACACATTTCAGCTTTACATAGTGGTAAGTATCTGAAAATGAATGGAATCTGAACAGGAACTGATTTTACATAGCTAATCTTATTCTTTAACTTTTTATTAGATCCATCATGAAGCCACCATAATAAACCTACTTGAAACTATAATGTTCCATAAGGTTTGTGCATTGTATTTTTTTTGTAACAAACAAACATGCGCATCAGTGTAAATGCATTTATAACAGTCTGTCTTTGTGGTAGGAGTCATGTGAAGCAGCTGACGACTCTGTTTTGGACCTGGTGGATTACTGCCATCGTAAACTCACCCTGCTTGTTAGTAAAGTGACCAGGAAGGGCAACGCAATGCATGAAAACCTCAGCAATGTGAATATAGTTGGCGTTTCTTCTATTGAGGTATTACAACAATATACTCATTATTAACACAGGAGAAATGTGGGGAAGATAGTCATTAGTATTATTTGGATGTAGTTAAATGTGGTCTTCAATGGTCCGCTATATAACCTTTCTAGTAAGGGTTTATTATCCTCTTGTCACCATGGGGAGGGTAATGCTTTGTCTGGAATGTTCCACAGTACAACATTAAACATAATAATCTCCACGGAGACATGCAAGTGACCTAATTAAATAAAACTATATACTTCCTTTCGGCAGGAGTTGCAAAACCAAAATGCTGCTCTGGAGTTTGAGATTTCACTAAAGGCTCTCTCAGTCCTGCGTTATATCACCGACCACGCAGACAGGTACGTAACTGCAAGGTTGTATCATTTGTTGGATAACATATTACACACAGTGCCTATTTACAAAAGCAGGGAAATAGACAAAAGCCTTTTACAGAGCAGCTTTTCCCCCTTTTCTTTCTGCAGCATTAGTGTTATAAACCGCTTGCTGTGCACACACAACATCCCCTGTGTCTTGGTTCAGCTAATCGACTGCTGTCCTTGGAGTCGTCATAAAGCAGGTATATTACAAAATTCCAAATTCAATGCCCAAAAACATCGGTGTTGCTTTTTAATAGATTGGTTACACGTTCTTAAATTCGGTGTTATTAAAATTTCAGAGAGAGGGCAATGTCCAGTGTTACTCTTTGTAAGACACTGCTTTTTACTAGATCAATGTATCTGCTTATTTATACAATCTACTAACAATTATTCACCATTTTTTATGGTATTAGGTAAAAATAAGATTTTGTGCTAGTATTTGCATATGTATATTATAGGATAAAACCATGAAAAAATATCAGCATTTTGGTCACACATTTGAACAACAAATTTTACTACTGATTTTTGATCTGTTCCCAAGTTCCCTTTATTTGTAATTAGAATGAATGACATATGAACATGATCTGTAATTTTTTTGCCCTATGTCTTGCTCAGGTCAGATTGAAAAGTACATAAATGGCAAATGGCAGAAGATTCCAGATGAGGATCGGTTAAAGATTACTAAACTGGACGGCCAGGCCTGGATTGCCTTGTACAATCTCCTTCTCAATGAAAACTGCCAACAGAAATATGAGTTCAACAACTACAACAAGAACCAGCTTCTTAAGGTTTGTCATAATCAAAACAGAATCTAAAGAAAGAAAGAACCACTGAAGCAATGTCCGTGACCATGTCTGTGGTAGATCAGACTATTAAGTTTAATCTTTATTTGAAACTGAAGAGACTTTACAGCTACATTTGCCCTTGACAAATGAAAAATGATTAAATCCTCTCTTCTTCACATAGAGAAAGCCTGACCCCTATTGGCTCAATCTGACTTTCGGTGTCCAGAGTTCATAAATGAAAGCAGTCATTGACAGACTGACTAAATAATGTATAGATTCTATAGAATCACTAAATAAAACCTGCTCCATATCTGTAAAACCTTACAATAGATACAATGCTTTGTTTATGAAAGAAAACTGCAAATGCCCATTCAAATCAACAGGTATAAGTAAACATTTTCTATTTTAATATGTGAATGCCATTCTCTTTTTTCAGTCAAATTCAGACCACTTTGCGATGTCCACAGATAATAGTAAAACAAACTCATGAAATGGTTGGGTCACTTCATGTGATGTTTTATGATGAATTCGTGCAGGTGAATTCTAGAAATGTGCTAAAGGGTTTGTGAAAGGAAACTAGCTGAACAGATTGACCTATTTACTCCTTCCATGTTTCAATAATCACATACCACAGCTTTAACTTTCACATTCATTTAAAAAAAAAAATATGTTAAAGAATCTTGTTTTCTAATTTACACATAATTCACCAATCAATCCATCTTATACTCTGTTTGCACTTGCTACTACTATACTATAATAATGAAAGCTTTGGCCAGTAGCAGGTGTGTCGTGTGTCTTCATCCATTTGAATAGAAGCTTGTATTTACACTGTGCAGTAGCTCAGGAAGTGTTTCAGTGCCAGATCTTTGTCCTATAGGAGCAGATCGGATCCTCTCACTTTGTTATTACAGGAATCAGCCACAGGTTGTTTTGACCAAGACATTTCCTTCAATTATCCCATGCTTTCTCGTCCTGTTCCTGTGTCTTTGATTATGCAACCAGACCTACCAACTGCTCTATTCTATTTTTAAGCAGAAATGCAGAGACTGGCCTTAAACTGAGTAATGTTACTTCAGAGTTATTGTTACTTGAGTAGAAAGGCAAAGTAGCAGGCCAAAATTTGAAATATTAGGAGAGGTGCAAAAACTAAAATGTTCAAAATCAAACCATATATTGTTGGGATTTTGTCACTTATAGACTTATTCGCAGTGGAAGGAGTAACCAAAGCTTTTCTCAAATAAGAATACACTGTAAAATATATGTCTCAGGTTAGTCTAAAAGTATGGTGTCTGAAAACTATTCAAAGAAGTAAAATGTTACTGAATGTCAGAAAATAGCCCACCGTTCGATTTATATGTCCAATTCTCTTAGAATTTTAATTTGGTGACTTATTTGGTGAATGTAATCATATTTATTTGTTTTCCAGTTGCGGAGTTTCCTGACTGAAGTTGTGATTGATCAGTTCCCAGTCCTTGTGCATCTGCAGAGGTTTCTGGCTCATCTGGCCATCACTGACCCCGTCCCTCCGAAAAAAGGCCTCATACTAGAACAGGTAACACAATAATAATCAGTTAGCTGTCTTGTATAACGCTATTCTAGACACACAAAAATCATAATAAAGATTTATGACTTAATTATTCACTATGATCAACAGCCCAGTGTTATTACAGATCATGATGAAATTTCAAACTTGATTTTGATACTGAGGAAAACTCACTTGTTTTTATATAACGTAATTTTCAGCGCCAATAAATAGTAATTTCTTAATTTTTATCATGTGGTTTTATGGTTCTCATATTCACCATTCAAATGATATAATATTTAATTTTAAATTGTAAATCGCTATGACAACGGTCCTAATTTTTCATTTTTCTGAAACTCATGAATATATACAATAGATCAGTTTAAAAACCTATTAGGAAAAGGTTCAACTTTGTCCATTTCCTGTTATTTCTTCAGTCCGGTATTTGCTCATATCAGTGTCTAGTAATGATACGAGTTATAGTATTGGTCATTTTATTGCCTTTTGTAATAACTGTTGGGTACTGCACTTTGGCCAACTGTGTTGTTTTTAAAATGCTCAGAAAGAAAGTTGGATTGGATTGATTACTATGTGGGTATAAATTTTTAACACCAGATCCTCTGAGCACCACCTATTTAATAACAACAATTACTGATTAACTGAATAATAACAATAATGTATGCATATATCTATTCTAATTGTTTCATCATTAACAGATACCAGTAATGTGGAACCATATTGTGACTGAAAACAATGGGAAATATAAAGCAATTGCCAAGTATCAAGTAAAAGAAACCTTCAGTCCTTCTGACAGTGAACTGAGGCAACAGGCACAGAGGTAATGTTAAAAATGTGTGGTATTTCAGTCATTTGATAAAAACATATTTTTCTTTCCACTGTACTTGATAAGTCATTGCTTGTTATAAAATAGGTTGGCTCAGACATACAACCTGGAGGTGATGGAAAGTTTACTGCCAGAGAAACCCAAGTGTGGATCCTGTGGAAGAGAGGCCACAAAAAGATGCTCCCGGTGTCAAGGAGAATGGTACTGCAACAGGTGAGTTGAAATTGAAAAACATATTTTTTTAAGCAAAGAAAGGAAATAGTTTTTTGAGATAGAAATGAATTTTTTATTTTATTTTATTTTATTTTTTTTACAGGGAATGTCAAGTGAAGCATTGGCCCAAGCACAAGAACAGCTGCCAGCTGATAGTTGAGAGCACTGAGAAAATTCAAAAGGACTTGCTAAAAGAATGAGCCAAATGAGAGCGTGTTAAACCTATATATGTTAGGGGAAACATTTGTTGGAGATAATGCATAAAGATTATTTTCAAATGAACATGTACAAGTGCTTAGCTACTACATAAACTTAAACATTTAAATTTTTCTGACTGGGGGTCTGCCGCTTGCCTATATATCATCTAGAATTTCACATTAAGGAGTGGCTTTTTATCTTGCATTTATTCAACAGAGGCTATTACTATTGAACAAATGCTAAAAACAAAAACATGCATTCCTACTGTGACTGACCTGCAACTTGGTCAGATGGTATCACATGCTTGTGTTAATGGAGATAGATATGTTTAGTGCCTTATTTTGGAACATTTTAGACCAAGTAAACTCCATGAAGATAAGCAGGTGGTGAACTCTCCAATAGAAAAGTTACATAGTGTACCTTAAAAAGCCCTATATTACACAAAACTGACTCTTGTAAGCTTCATGTTATGCTGTTACCTCATCAAAAACTAGATTTGAACTTCATTCCATTCATATATGTTTGAGTTACACTTTATTATTTATCTGTCTACATCTACAATACTCAGAATGCTCTGCTACACCGTATGATGTCATAGTAGTAGTTTCCAAGTTAACAGATAACATTTACCTTTAGTTCAGTAGAGACTGGCAATTCCACATGACCTCACAAGGTGGGACGGAGTGTTTTCTTTTTGAGAGAAGAACACAGCCATATATGCATGATTTCTGTGTTAAGTGTATGTGAATGAAACAAAACACAACTCCAGCTGTGTTTTTGATGAGGAAACAACATAATTGAGAAGCTTCTTGTGGAAATATTGTGATTTAGTTTCTCCCTGGGTAAAAATATCTTGACTTTTTGAACATGTCAATCTGTAAATAAAATGATAATGATAAAATGATAAAAATAATTTGGACTAATTAATGTTTACTAATTAAAGTGTGATCAGGGCTGTTCATTAACCTGATGTTGTCTGACTTTGGATACATACAGGTCATTTGGAGTTTCTTATTGTGAGTGTGGTTTTGGGGGTGGGGGCCTCACGCCTACTCAGCTGTTCCAGGCACCGTCCGTCCGTGAGAGAAACAGAACACTCCGGATGTCAGCAGCCTCATCTGATCACTCTCTCCTTTATCATACTCCTCTTGCTCTATTGACTAAAATGCTGTAAAAATAGGAAGTATTCCAGTTCTATAAATGATTATAATGGAAATGTGAGCGCCTCCTTGTAGTTCAGTTGACTTTTTGTTACTTTTTTTTTTTGCTGACTTTGATGTTGCCCAATCTCCACAGATGTAACTCACGGTAGAACTTCATCGCATCTACCGCGGTCTGCATGGGCTGGAAACACTTTTTCAGATGGAAGATTTGACTGATTTTAGCTGACAACGAGATGGTTTCGTCTGTTTTGGTAAGCATGTTTATTCGTTTTAGTTTGAATTTAGCAGCATTTTTAGCGCTTTCTTTCTAAAAGCTAACTTTCTCCGTTGCTTAGATACTGTACGTAGATAGCTGACGTCTCCGTAGCACGTCCTACAGAAGGTCCATTGTAAAAAAAAAAAAGCCACGCGTACAACAAGAGCAGCTTCTTTAGATCCCAAACACTATCATAGCCAAAAGTTTAACAAAAATGTTGTTGGAAAAGTAAACAGAGCATGCAAAACTGCTTTGTATAACGGTTATATAATCTGGTTTCTTTCTTTCTTGGGTTCTGTCATCCCCGGGTCTGTACGTGGGACATAAATCAAAGTAGTCAGAAATGTATTGGGGACACTGTGTTCTTATGTGTCTTGAATTAAGCATGTATCCATAATGATTTTATACTTAGAATACAATTTATTTCTACTGTGGGATTGTAGAACTCCTTTGTAGCATGGGCCCACAATGACATGCTTTATTTTCATTTTGGCCAAAGTATATGTCTAACAACAATTGAAATCATAATAATGCATTTGATTTAAGTCACCCAAAGAGCTTTACAGTGCATTATTCATTCACTCCATACCATGGTGGCAAGCTATTGTTGTAACCTTGGCTGCCCTGGGGTAGATTGACCAAAGTGTGGCTGCTATCTGCACCATGAGCCACATTGACTACCACCAATCATTCCATCACATTCATAGACAATGTGGGTGAAGTGTCTTGCATAAAGGTGCATTGTGTAACTTTTCTGGTATAGGGTCTGTCAGATGCTTTTCTCCATGGAGATGTCATTGCTTTGTCTGAAATGTTTCACAGTCAGAATGCCTGTTTTCTAGGTATTTTTGAGCTATTAAACCATCCGTATTAGTATAAATGTAAGGTAGAGTTAATGTCATACTCCGAAACATCCCAGACAGAGCAATGACATATCTACAGAAAGAAGCAGCTGAAGGACCCCCAACCAAAAAGTTACACAGCGTACCTTTAAGGACACAGCAAAAGTTTCCACTATAGAGCCACCACTGTCACACTGATTTTGTCATAGCTGCACTGGAACAGAGATGTGGCTTCCATTATGTGCATCTCAGATCACAACATTCATAGTTTTGCATACAAGCCTGGCTGACCGCTAACCTTGTGGTCAGTTGGCGTAAGTCTGCACTAACTGAGCTGCTATACTGTCACCTACAGGCTGAGTTTGAACCAGCTCACCTGACTCCTTCAGTGGTTCAAAATAGTCACTCATATTAAACCTGTTATTCTCTCCAGTAGATGATGGCTGACTGACCACTGCTCTGATCATGTCTGTGGGTGAGCTGATCGAGCTCAGAGACCTGGTTTCAGCCGGAGACCGCATCGAGCTGACCGCGTCCCACTCCCCTTGCTTCCCTCCGCGCCTGGAGAGGACCAACGCTTTGAGGATCAGTGCGGGGAAAGTGCCAGAGCTGCTGAGTCGTGTGGGCATCATCAGGGTTCTGAGCAGTCGCAGTGATCCCCAGCCTCCCGAGGAGAGAGGGGAGGGACACAACTTTCAGCCATGCAGCCACACTCAGCCCACCTGGTGCGACCTGTGCGGAGACTTCATCTGGGGACTGTACAAGCAGAGTCTGCGCTGTGTTAGTGAGTACAATTATATATATTCTCTTCAAAGTGCACTATGTAACTTTTCTGGTGGGAAGTACTCTGCTTTTTTATGGATATGTGCAGTGGTTTGAGTTCATTTGGAAGTCAATGAAATATTTTTTATATATATTTTTATGGGCCAGTGATTTTTTTTTTCATATACTCAACAAGTAGTATGTTCTCCTTTTTTCTCTTTTTGTCTGGTTGGTTTTCATTTCCCCACATAACAAACTAAAACATGCACAAAGGACAAATCTAGCTTGGTACAGGCCAAGATCATGGATCAAAACCTGGAGATTGTCACTTCTCTGCTTCTGTCGAGTTGTAGAAGTAGTTGAATGGGTCAGAAATTAGTTGAGGAAACACTTAACATATGTAAAGTCAAGTATAATATATGTACAGTGGACACACACAATACACAAATACAAGTGAAACACATTCTCCCACAACATAGTTTTAAAGTTGTGAAACAGGTTCATTATAATTTTGTGAAATGCTTTTCCTTTTTTGTTTAATCAGTCAATCAAATGTTATTTATATAGTGTTTTTCATTTAAAGTATATACAGTCATTAAAACACATTTCCTTCTACCCCCACAACTGCCCTACAACTGCCCAATCTCACACAACAAAACAGTGTCACAGTGTCACCCACTTGCACGCACACAAACACACTCACATGCTAAAATACACGAGGCTGTGTACAGTAAAACACGTGCTGAGAAAGCACCATCAGACACCTCTAGGTCCCGTGTCCCCTGCCACCAGGACACAGGCGTCGGGACCCAGGGATGATGTGAAACACTGGACATCCTAAAAGTCATGAAGCAATATGAGTTCAAGCTAATAGTATGCCTAAAATAAATAAATATAATGATTTACATATAGCTAATAAACATAATTACATTGTTGCTATATATTGCTTTTTAATAATAATTTCTATGTTTTTGTTTGGTAGTTAGATAAAGCAAGAGTGATAAATATTTGGAAACTGCTGTATGTTGTTTGACATTTTTAGAGTACACACAGTTCTTGCATCATCAATTTACAAGTCACATTCACATTACACAAAACACTATGATTGCAGCATGTACCTTTGAAATGTCAAAAGATATTAGGAAAACAGGAAATGTTAATCATAAATGTTATGATGAGCAAAAAATTACTTATTATTTTACTATTCATTATGAGGCAGCAGCAATGCATTTGGTGAAGCACGGATGAACAAACAATGTGGTGTTTTGCCAAGTGTGTTTCTTTTTTGTTTTGTCTTTTGTGGTTGAACCATAAGCGTCACTGAACAATCATACAGTCTTCAACCTTGAACATCCTTTACATCACCCAAAAACCACAAAAACTGAAAAAATGGACTGAACTGACGATAATATGAAATGCAAAACCAACATCTATGTGTGAGCCTACTCAAAATATACGTAAAGTGTAAATGAGAGGTTATCCATAGTGTAAAATAGATAAGCACACTATATAGATAATGGTATGCTTGCTATTGTGATAACAGTATTATGAATGTGTACATTTCAGTGTATACATTGATTTCAGTATACCACCTTCTTCACATTGAGGCATTTTGGTACCTCTTTAAATGCGTGTCCTTGAGGGTGGAAGGAAGTAAAACAAACATTCCAACCTAACTGAAACTCAAAAACTAAATAGAGAAGAGAATAAATATTTGTCATAAAAATATACTGGATTCTACTAAATTATTGGCTACATTGGTATTTTAAATTTTTTCACTTGAGTGTAGTGACAATGGTTGAACAGAAGAGGACCTCAACAATGCTAGGTACATAGTGCACATTTTAAACTTGCACTATGTAATCTTCCTGATGGAGGATCTAGCACATGCTTGTCTCCATGGAGACATTGGGAATCCAGAATAAATCAGGAAATATAGCATTCATGTAGTTACAGGTGTTTTGGTGCTTATAAATTACCTACAAAAACATGGGTTCTTGCAGTGAATGGGATAACCTCTCCACAGATCTGCCCTGTAACTTAGCCTAGTGGTGTCACATGCTTCCCTCCATGGTGACAGATACATTCAATGCCATATTGTACTTTAAAACAGTGTTTTTGTCTTGTCTTTCGTTCCTACAGATTGTAAATTCACTTGCCACTACCGCTGCCAGCCCCTCATTCAGCTGGACTGCATTTGGGACCAAGGCTCTCTGTCTGAAAATACACAAGTCGTCGAGCACACAATAGAGACCGACACGAATGTGGTAAGGACCTTCCCCATGTGTCTATTCTGTTGTCCATTTGTTTACATTAGCAACTGTTTGGACAACTGGCTAACATGTGTTTTATCAACTTAACAAGACATTTTAAAGTATGAAATAGAGAACCCTTTTAGCCACACCTAGTTCCACTTTTGTAAACTACAGCCCCTTCATGAAAGCAGCTATAAACTAAAACTGGACCATAAAATTAAGCTATAAATGGTGGAGACAGAATATCCATTTGTTCTTGCCTGGTAGTAGGTCGACATAGGTTTTGTTTGCACTGTGGCATAACAGTCATAAAGTCCTTTTGATCAACAAGCAATAAAGAATTGAAATTTGCTTAAAGATGCACTATGTAACTTTTTGGTGGAGTGGAGAACCATCACCGTGAGGACAAGCAAGTCATGGACCCCTCACCAGAAAAGTTACAAAGTGTACCTTTAAAGGGACACTAAAAGTGATTGGTAAATTAGATTCATCATTTCGATTCATTTTGGTTTCTTAAAGAGAAGGTGACATGAGACAATATTTGTTTTGATAGAGGAAAGTACTTTGATGACTGCACCTTCATGAATCTACACTATGAATCTACATCAAACAAAATTATTTAAATTTCACAGTAAAGGTATAGATGTTATATTGACACCATTTTGTCTCTTCTCTCAACAATAGCGTTCAAGTATAGCATTGAGGGAAACTTTTATTTTCTATTATCATTTGAAAATAACATACAGTACCGTCAAAGCTATTTTATTATGATGACAATTATGATATTGACTCTTTATCACATAGACTTAGAGGAAGTACATTGCCTATTTTTCCTCAGTGCTTTGTGGTTGAGACTGTATATCACCATAGTCTTTATCACCAGCCTTGAATAGGACATACCACCCTCATAAGCCATTATATATCAGCAGAATAAGATAAAGCCATTGTTGCAGTAACATTCAACCACAAAGAAAATCCATGCAAGGCCTAATCACTTAACTGCTGATAAGATGTAGAAAATATTTAGTAGGACAGTATATAACAGACATACTCTCAAATGAAACATTGTACTGAATTTCAATAGTTCTCGTTCAAAGCATATCAAAAAGAGAACATTTCTCTTCTCATTGATTAAGAGTACCAAAATAAAATGATGACATGAATGTGGTTACTTCTGCAGAAACTATGAAGTAAGGGAAATAAAGAGAAGTAAAAAGAAATGCATATAAACATTGGCTATGTTTACATGCAAAATCTGTTTAAAATCTGATTTCTGGACATTTAAGTTTATTTAAATGACATACAAACCACAAATTATGATGTAAGTATTTAGAGGGGCCATGATCAACAAGAAATTAGATGAATTTCTTGTTTACATGTCATTTTAATAGCCCTATAATGCAAAACCTCTATTGGGTGGACATGTAACCACAGCCAATGGTAAATTTGACCATAATTGCTTAACAGGAGTACAAAGTTGAGGTTTGTTTATATACAAACAAGTAAAAATGAATTTAGTTTTCCTTTTTAAAATAAATACCTGTCACATTAGTCACATTCACTGGAGCCCTGTCCCCTTGACCCATAGCAGTCACACCCTCTGCTTCTTGTTGCTTATATGACCTCCACACTGCAAGTGTTTATGTAAAAAAGAGAGTCCAAAGAAAGCCTTCTGCAGGGAGGTCTCCTCACATCCTGTGAAGCACGTGTGAAAACGGCCCTGCAGTCTGTGGTGGGGGATTGGGAGAGGATGGTGAGGGAATGGGTTGTTTTATATTGAGACAGACTTGTATTGCATTGACCCACAACTTACATGGACATAGCAGCTCAGATCTTACAATATAACAACAAAGAGCAAAACATAAATGGTAATAGCATTTTAAATAAATAAATTAGCAAAAATGGCAAAAGGCTTGTGTCAATAAGGTACAAATATACAGATTTATGTGTAAGTAGAATAAACTAAATTATAGTATAAAATATTCCTATATATAAGAGGTAAGGATACAGCGCATAATCATATGAATAAATAAAGTAAAATGCAAGTAAATGTAAATTACAGGTTTGGTAAAGTTTGTAGTGAAGTAGTGAAATGAATAAGCTTTTCCTATGAGTGATCAAAATATGTGCAGGCAGCATGTTAGAAAATGAGAAAATACATTACTTTTTCAATTAAGAAAGTAGATTTTTTCTTTATTTTAGTGTCTATTGCAAGAATTGAGAACTTATTTTTTTTACATTATTACAACCAGTCATCAGCCAAAACGGGAAGTGATGAAAAGGGCAACAGGCACCGGAAATCTCTGATAATTAGATCATTTGCTGTGGTCACTCTAAAATAATATAGAAGTCTAAAGGAAAGTTTGAAAATTGTTCCGATGAGACCTTTGCATTATGATATTTATGGCTGAAACATACAATTGCAAGATGCATATGTTTTTGTGATCACTGTTTTCAATCTTCTGTGCTTCTTTGTTGGTTATTGAAGATTTTTTGTATATTGTCTATGTTTTAGTCTTGCTCCAGGTCTGGAAGTCTGGCAAACAAGGAGTTAAATCTTTATCAATTACACTACAGCCTTCAGGAACAATTTACTCTCACGTGGTGTTTATGGCTCGTATGTGTGGCCGATCCTTCTTCATCATATGATCAACTGTACAATATGTGAGGAGGGGAATGTTGCGTCTGTAATAGGACCATGGCAGAGCAGTAGGGGGCTACAAAGGGGGGAGAGACGGAAGTGAAGTCATTGGCATTTCCGTTTAGCGTCCAATGGCGACCGGTTACACTGGTTTTGTGTATTTTCTAAAGTTCCAACTCAACGGTCTGGGTGGAGCTTGGGAGATGCGAGGGAAGCCGCGGCTCTGAAGGGCGGGGGCTGGGTGACATCCTGTTTCACACAGTTTGTATAGCCATTGGAAACGTGGCCGGTGAGAAAAAAACAAGATTGCGCACGTTTAGACTTTTTGATAAAGTTTTATTGCTAGACACCACATTGTTGCCGAGTACGCGTTTTGCCACAGTTGGGTTAGTTCATTTCCGAGTGAGTAGTTCATTTCCGAGTGAGTAGCGCGTGTTTTTACCTCGTTTGAGCTCAAATCAACGAGAAGAAGTTTGATTTAGACTCTACTTTTCGACTAGCATTATACTTAGTAAATAGGGAAAAGATGGCAAAAAGCGAAGATAAAACCCCGTCGTTTGAGATGACTTGGGGAAGCTCCACTAGCAGCGGGTATTGCAGCGACGAAGAGTCCGATTCGGAGTTTGAGCAGTACTTCACCGCCCGAACATCTTTCTTCCCCAAAACCAAGAAAGCCGAAAATGTCGTTGTTAAGAAGGTGAGAGGCAATTTAATAAATCAAATGAATCGTGTAAAATGTTTTATAAGGAAATCAAAAATAACGGGAAGTATAAGAAGGAACTAGAATATTGGTTGCGCAGTACCGCCACCTTTACGCATGTTGAAATCAGGGCGTATTTCTTTCCAAAACCCCAAAGTGACAAATATAAATATTAAACAAGAAAAGGAAGGATTAATTGCTTTTATTTATTGGCTAGAAATGTAATATTGTTCTTTAATGCATTGAGATGTTATGTTTTGGTTGTGCATTGGCACCGTCTTTACGCACACATTAAAGAGTTGTCTATATTGGGTTTATATTTGCTTTAAGCCTAATTTACTCACGTAGTACAATGGTATTTGCCCAATGGACTGCTAAACTGGTTATCAGAGCTTAGTTTTGTTAGTTTAAGTCGTTAAGGTAGGCCTAAAGAGGAAGTTTGCAAACAAGAGGTCTATTTCTGTCTGGGGAGTTGTTCCTCCAGAACAAATAAACTTATGCCAAATAGGGTTACTAACTAAACTGTAAGTCATTGTATTGGGTTAAGATGGAAGGATCAAATATTGTATGAAATTATGTTTAAAATGCCATGGTTGAAGGAGTGCCCACTCAAAATAACTTCATGGTGTGAACAACCCTATTATGATTTTGCATGACGTATGCCCCCATCTCAAGTTTCATGTTTTACACCCACTAATGTTTCCCTTGTCAAGCAGGTTGTTTTTATCTTTGCATCAAATGAGTCATGGAATTTGGGCAATTTCTTCAGAACTAATTTCTGTACCTTTCTTGTAGGTGTTGTCTCGCTTGAGAAATCTCAAAACAGATGAGGTGTACTCAGTCAGAACATTTTGGCATGGCACTCCCTTGTGAACATGCTAAAGCACAGATGGCATTTATGTCAACTGCCAAACCTAAAAAGCTCTAGACTATTGATTTATTTGACACACTAAATAGGGGTGCTTAAACCAATCTGCAGCCTTGCACATTAGCTCTTGACTCTCAATAATGCTGATGCCCCAGCTGGCATTTACAATTTTGCATCCCATCTACCCCTTGGAGGCATCACAGAAAATGATCTTTGTGTCCCACTAGCAACATGAGTTGGCACAAAATCTACACCTGATGCCCTGCCAGATTATGATTCTATTTTTCATCCAGGCTTGGGACCGGCACTTAAATGTACACGCCGCCTTTGACTTCCTGACTCCTAGTGGCAGAAATATGTTATTTAATTCCTATCTAGTAGCTCAAAATACTGTATAGAGGGGGGAGAGTCATCATTCTGTGGCCACTTTATTTTTGTTTCAACTAAAATTTGTACTATAGAGGAAGTGCCATTGGTGAGTACATACAGGAAAAGTCTAATTGGCATAACGTTCCTACAGATGCTGCAGGCCAAATGTGCATGACTGAAGCGTGACTGGGCAGCTGACTGCACAGGATGTCTGTATAAAACAAGGGAGGGCATTGTCTACTCACCACTTGTGTGAGCCAGAGAGGAGGGAGGCTATTTTTACATGAATGCCGAGTTGGGGAATGCTGCCCCGCATCATTGGTTTGGGCTGGTACAGACAGCTGCAAGTTTTCAGTGTTCCTCTGTATCTCTATCTAGCCCTCTTACTCTTCCTCTCTCGCTCTCCCTCCCTCTCCTCTTCAGAGCGAGGGATAAGGGCTAGGGGATAAGAGAGAGCTGACATCACTGTTTAGGCCTGCGCTACACTCACAGGAAGTTAGATGGCTGATGCAACAAGTCCTTAAAAAGTCCCCTAGTGTGTACAAGATCAAAATCAAAAGTAAAAGTAAAAGATTGTTTCCAAAGTCCAGTTCTTTTAGATCTCCACTCTTAATGTTACATTGGAGATATTCCCTATTTTTCAACCTGTTTATTGGTAACACTTTCAGAACATCTCACCATTCATAAGATATAATTTGTCTTGAGTTAACTACTCGTAACTTTTTTTTTTTTAATCTTTCTGCGCCCTATGGATAGTTGGAAACAATCTTTAAAAAGAGTCTACTAAAATTGTATGTTTTAAGTAAATGCTTGCATAACTTCATATCTCCCACATTTTAGGCTATTAAGAAACTAGCAGAAATGGAAACCTTGATCTGATTTTGTTAACAAACTTTAATTTAGTACCTTCCATCTAGTATTTTCTCTGGTCAGGGTGGAGAGTGAAGCAAGACTGACCTCTGGTGGTTTAAATATGCTACTTCTTTATTTTACAGGATGAACAGACTGAATGGGCAAAGCAGGAGTTGACGACCCCAGACATTCAACAAAAAGTGAAGGAATACAACGCACAGATCAACAGCAATTTATTCATGAATGTGGTCAGTATTTACATTACACAATTTCCATTTTGTTATGTACAGTATGTACCATTTTATTTTAAACTTAAATCTCACAAACATGACATATCTGTCCCCGGATATAATATACACAAATTAAATATTAAAGTTGTGATGCTTATTTTTTCTTAATTACAAAAACATCGGACATGATGTTTGGTGTTAGTTGTTAAGACGATTATCCAGTCAGAAAGCAGTTGTTTAAACTAGCAAGATGGCAGACTAGATACTGTGCCTTTTTATTTATTTTATATAATAATGTTTTCTATGCTTAATATTCTATGTTTGGCATTGTTGCATTCATTTTTTAATGCTTTACTTTTATGTTTACTGTGAAGTAAGCCCCATAGTTAAATCTTATCTTCCATTTTATTTTTCAGAATAAGGATGGCTCTTATACGGGTTTCGTAAAGGTGCAGTTCAAATTGGCACGGCCTGTTTCAGTTCCTCCTCCAAAGAAGGAGACTGGGAGGAAATCGGCAGGGGTGAAGCGCCGCACCTCTTTTTACCTGCCCAAAGATGCCTCCAAGCACCTGCACATAAGCTCCCGCACCACAGCCCGCGAGGTCATCGAGGCCTTGCTCAAGAAGTTTACTGTGGTCGATAATCCGGGGAAGTTTGCACTGTTTGAGCGAAGTGAACGCCATGATCAAGGTATTAAATGGTTTTAGTTAATTTAGTCTTCATTTGAAGGGACACTGTACAGACAAAAAACAACCTGAAGTTCCACCCCAGATATACCTTAATAGCTACTTTCAGTCTGCAACAAAATTATGGAGTAGCATCATTTCATGAAACAGTTATTAACCTACCATTTCTACTCTCCACTATTACATCAGTTGATGGGTATATTTGTTTTTGTTTTTGTTGTTTTTTTTTGGTTTTTTTTATGTCACACAAATTTCACAACATGTGGTATTGCATCTTATTATCAGTGCTGGCAGGTTTGATTGTGCAATTTCAATAATCGGAATTATCAGTCAGGCTTTCAAATGATATTTCTTGTTGGGAATACCTGAATAAGTAATGAGTGAAAAACAGAATAATCACTAATCTTATTCTCCCATTAATTATTCTGTTATTCCCCAACATTTATCTGAAATAATTTCTGTTCATATTAATTGTGTTTTTGTTATTTCTACAGTTTATGTCCGTAAGCTGTCTGATGATGAGCGACCACTGCGCTTGCGTCTCAGTGCTGGACCCAATGAAAAGCTGCTGAGTTTTGTCTTGAAGGAAAATGAAACTGGAGAAGTCAATGTAAGCACCTTAATATTTTAAATAGCACCAAATTACATTACAGTTTCTGTCTGTTTGTTGTGATAGACTTTATGAAATTGAGAAAAGGAATTTATTTAGTTAGCTCAATTTACCATTGCTTTCCTGTTTAATGTCTTGCTGAGTTTAGGGTCAGACCACCCGCCTTGCAGTGGAAATGCACTGACAGCATTCACCACGTTTGGTCCGTCTGTGTAAGCGTCTGAGCTGCACTAAAATAGCCTGAGGGCTATTTTCAGCTAAAAATGATTTGATACTGTCGACAAATGGTGTGTAGACCAGACCACCCACCAAAAACGAATATGATCCAATCAGTCATCCTAATCTATTTATAAAAAATGATTATTAAGCCTATTAAACTCAGATTCAGATTACCTCACAACATTATATGGGCCAATAATATTAATGCAGATGGGGGCAGCTAAAATTAATATAGTCAAAATCCAACACCACTTTCTAGAATCAGATACCTGTATATTAGACCATAATAACAAAAATTTTCTAATATAATATACATCATTCAAGACTCTTTAAAATGGTAAGGGTTCACGTCTGATCCAAGAGGGTTTAACTAATCAAAACATTATAAAAAATAATACAAATCTGTTAATGACTAAGAAAGCAAGGTGTCCAACTTTTGCACAATGTACAAAAACAGAAGCTTTACAAAAAAGAAAATGTGTCACACAAATGACTACTACATTATAAAATACTAATTCATTGAATGAGCTGCTTAGTTATCTCATTTAAACATTCCCACTAAAAATAATCTAGCAAGCAAAGTTTAGTTATATAGCACCTTTCACAGATTAGAAAGTGCTTCACAACAATTACCATAATCAAATCTAACCTCTTCTTTCTCTCTCTCTCGCTCAGTGGCATGCCTTCTCAATGCCGGAGTTGAAGAACTTCCTCCGTATTCTTCAGCGTGAGGAAGAGGAGCACGTGAAGCAGATAGTGCAGCGTTACGCTCTGGCCCGCACTCGGATGCAGGAGGCGCTCTCCGGCTCCACTCCAGGCTGAGATCACCACTCCTCACCGGGATTTTGGACATGCACCGCTGGTCTGGATGCCCCGATCACTCATGGCTGCATCTAAAGATCCCTGAGAAACCAAGTCTAAACGCCTCTTCGGTGACTGAGCGAGCGAGTGAGCGAGTCAGAGAGCGAGAGAGAGACAGGGCAGGCGCGAACTGTGCGAACTGTGCGAGTGTCGTGAAATGCCTTTCACCTGGAGAGTCTGAAGTGCCTGAATGAGTTGTGAACAGATGAGGACTGGCAGATGAGCTAATGCTGGATGTAGTAATGCCTTTAATATATCAGATTAAAATAAGAGCAACATAGTATAATAAAAGCCCTATTTATGTCAGAAATTACCTACTGAACAAATAAGATTTATATGTAAAAATAATTTGTAAAATGGTTCAAATGATATATGACCCATTTAAAATATGTAACTTTTCTGGTGGAGAGTCTGCTACTTGCTTGTTTCCATGAAGATGTTATAGGTTTACCTGGAATGTTCCACAATATGGCATTAAACTTAATTAAAAATTCCAGATCTGTCAAGAGGGGACTCCACTCTCAGTAAGATATATGTCAAGGCATTTAAAGCAATAGAAAATGCAATTTAATACATATATCCAGAGAAGTTCAATGTCCTACTGTGAAACATTCCAGACAAAACCTCTTCAATGAGATACACATGTTGTGGACTCTCCGCCAGAAAAGTTACATGCATTTTAGCTGTAGGTTACCCCAGATTCATACTATTTTTGTCACTTAAGTCAAATTTTACAGTTAATAGAAGACTTACCAGCGTTTATATGTGCTCTATCACTGCCATGTCCTCTCTATACCCCCGATGGGTTCAACTCAATGGTTTTATTTTTTTATTATTTTTATTTTTGAACAGTTGATTTGGAAGAACGACTGTGTGGACATTTGTATGCTGTTATGCATGTTTGAGAGTAATGTTACACCCTGGTTTGACTGGACCTTTTTGAATGACAACATTGACTCGTTTCAACCTTTCATTGTCCTTTGTCAGTACTGTCTTTATACTATTCTTTAACAAAATGTCTCACTTTTTCAGTTTCTTATGTAAAAACTCTATGCACATATTTACATGTTTTATCAAAATTCACAAACTGTGCCAATGTCTTTTACAATCAGTAAAGGATTATGTACATTCTCTCACAAGATTTTGTATTATTTTTACCCTACCTCATCATTTAAATATGACTAATCATTTATTTTTAGCATATTAGAAAACTAATGTAAATTTAGTATTTACAAGAAAAAACAAAAAGGAAAAAAAAACAAGTCAAGGCTTATGTATTGGAAATTTTCGATGTATGCCTCTCTGAAAAGGGTGTGATTGAAAAAAAAAGAACATTATACTCCTATTTAATTTCTCTAAAACAAAATTGCTTAAAGGTGCACTAACATTTCTGATTTAGGGTGTGCACCTGCTTGTCTCCCTGGAGATGCAATTGCTTCACCAAGAATGCTCCACAGTATAGCACCAAACATCCATCTCCATGTGAACAAGCAGGTGACTCCACTGGACCAAGTTACAAGTTAGATCTGATTAGAAACGTTGTAGTACCAATTTAAATGTACCTTTTCTATATTTCTACATATTGCCCTAATCTAATTTTATCCTGACCAGCTAAAGTATTCCTAGACTATTATTTGTCATGACTTTGTTGCAGGTGCCTGTCTCTTTAAGGCGAGCCGTCCAATCAGCTCATCACTAGAAGCATAACAGCTAACAGGCTAGCAGCGGTACGAGCCGTATGCAGAACATGCAGCAGATTTAGCAGGGAATTTAAGGTATGGCATTAAGAATACCGCTGAGGTTTGTACATAAGTACTGTTTATAAACGATTAAAAGTGTGTTATGTATAGATTAACCCCACAAAATAAGCGTTTTAGCACATTTCCCTCTGCAGCTGTTGCACACCTGCGTCACAAGCTCAGTGCTAGTAGCTAGTTTTCAGACCTTTAAGCAATGTACAGTGTAGCATCTAGCATTATTATAACGTCATTTTCATTACAAATATGTAAAACAGTATCCACAAGACGTATTGGTCTTAGGTAATTTCATAACAGGGTAAAACCTTAACATATTATTGGCTGATAATGGCACTAAAAGCAAATTGTAATCAGATAACATTGTTCTTAATGTAAGATATCTACATAATATACACTATTAGGACCACCTTAAGTGTTTGATAATATGATTCATGAAATATCTGAATAACTCCTAGAATTGGCTCTATTTCAGTCTGTTCCCAAATTAAATCTCTTATCAAACTAAATATCTTCTATTATTCATAGTACTAGGGCGAAGTGATATGCCTTTTCACTACTGAACATTTTTAACTTATATAAATATAAATTATATAAAGTGCTGTCAAAACATTTAATTATTGAGATTTAAGACAAAAAAATAGTCAAATGTCTTCCTCCATATCTGAACTCAGCTTAAAAACCATATGCTGTTACTGACAGAGGATTGACTGTAAACCTCTCCATTAAAAGACTAGAATTCCATTAAATAAAATGGCTAAATCTCACTTAATATTGGATACAGCCCTACTTCATACAAATACGTATATCTGCATTCAATAGTAATAGCTTACAAATGATCAATGAATGCTCTTAGGCACCCGGTGTCTAAAATGGCCTTGTAATTATCAGCATTTTACTGTAGTTTCCTCTCTCTACAGGTCCATCCTGCTGTAAAAAACTTCAGACAGTTCATAGGAGACTGTCCAGACCCCATTTGGTGGATGTTAGCTATGTCTTATCAGTGACTGTGAGGAGGATGGGAGGAAGCGGATCCAAGTCGAAGGGGGCGAGCTCTGGTTCTGGAGCGGACACGACCTCGGTGGGCAGCGAGCAGTCTGTGGCACGACTCAAAGGAGCACGAAATGCAACACCTTTTGTCTTTACCAGAAGGAGGTAAATAATACATGTTCACTACACTACACACAACACTACAGGTTACAACTGGAGCAGTGTTGTCAATACATGTGTTTCAGCTTCCTGTTACATACAACATTTTTCCTAGTTCCTATCATTTCAAACTGTTAATCACTATGACAACAGTCCTAGATTCTCATAATTCTGAAACCCATTGACAAGAAATTTTAGGACTTAGTTAGTTAGGTAATAGTTTTGTACTTTGTTCTCTCAATTTATTTTACTGAGATGTACTACATAATACATTTTAACTAAATAAGAAACAACACTAATTACTTTTAATACATTTCTTTCCCAGCTCCTTGTACTTTGATGAAGATGGTGATCTCGCTCATGAATTTTATGAAGAAACTGTTGTGACCAAAAATGGCAGAAAAAAATCAAAGTTGAAAAGGATACAGAAAAACCTAATACCCCAGGTGAGTTACAAACTGAGGGCACCTTTTATGTTTATGTTTATGTTAGATTATTTTCTCAATTTCCTGTTTATTTTTGTCTCTTGCAGGGAATAATAAAACTGGACATTCCCTGTATTCATGTAGACTTTCCCATCATTCTCTGTGAAGGCTGAACAATATCAAAGGATTAAGGACTTATGTGGGGCCCTCCTACACAGCTCTTCTCAACCCTGTGACTGTAGGCTCGAGAACATTGCCATTTGCACGGACTCAACAGCACTACAAGATGTTACATACATGGATTTTGTTATATTAGCAGGACTACACAAATCATATCTTTATACTGTTTATTTGTTAAAACTAAGTAGATGCCGTCTTCCCTCTCAAAATGTTGTGTACGCAGGTTTACATTGACAGGTGAAATGAAATTCATTTAGGGCTGCCACTTATAATTATTTTTATTCTTTCAATTAATTGATTAGTTGTTAAGAGAAGCAAAAGGCTACTGAACATGAGATTTTTTACAAAATTTTACTCAAATAAAGCTGAAATGAAGCCGCTTGAGGTAATCTTGATGGAGTATATTTACAGACAGACTGAAAATGACTTCCAGATGTCAGTTAAAACGTGTTGTCCAGATGACTACCTTTGAAAACAGACTATTTCAACAAAAACACAAATAAAAAAAACTATTCTCTCAGCTCATGGCATGTTTGGAGTTTGTTTATAAACCAGTTTACACTTATTCAGTTACTAAATTAGTCAATGATTATTTCAATAACTGATTAGTTGCAGTTAATCAATTATTTGTTGCAGCCCTAAATGAAATTTCTTTTCATTGTGGCATTTCATAGTTTGATGTTAGAGGTATAATACAGCAAGTGAAGATTTTGTGGTCAAAGTTAATTTGTTGGCAAGTGTAAGGAATAAACCAGGATTAAAAGGTAATGAAGGGAATGATAAGGAAATCCCCCAAATTGTTCTTGTGAGGTGGTCCTGAGTAGCAATTGTCAGTATCGATAAAAACACTCCAAAAAGCTACTGTGGTCAATTTGCGGCAGGTGGTGCGTGTAGGTAGTCTGGTAAACCATCTGAGTTTACAGCAACAACAAAAAAGACATTGTAACTGAGCAAGCAGGCAGATAGTTACAAGTCCTAAAGATGCACTGTGTGGTGTCTCCCGCTTGCCTCCATGGAGATGTTACTGCTTTGACTGTAATGTCCCACAGTATGGTATTAAATGTGTCTATCATATCTTCAATTACAAGCATTACATTGCTCAAAAATGCCTTGGAATAACATGCATTATTGCTGTGAATGGGTTAGCCTTTTCACAGTTCAGACATGTAATTTGGTTGAGTACCACTTGCTTGTCACTATGGAGGTAGGCAAGTTTAAAGCCATACTGTAGAACATTCCAAGAGGACAGGTACAGTATAATGGTGTCAAAATGGATACTGTGTAACTGGTCTTAATAGAAAGTCACGAAACCAAGAACATTTCATCCGACTGTTTGAAGAAAACACATGTGATGGTCTTCCTTGTGTTAGACTTTGTTTGTGTTTTTGTAACTGTTACAACACATTTTGATGTCCAAGAATATTCTCTAGAGGTTTGGACTGATGGTTTGTGAAGTTCTGTTGTAAAAATGTTACTGTCATTACATTACTTGGGGTCAGACCTGCACTAGTGAACATAGTGTACAGTATATTATAAAGTTTTTATTCTAAATACTTGAATAAATGGTTTGCTGAGCCACTCACTGCACAGTACCTCATTTTGGTTGGTGAAAAGTAATTTCGCAAGTTTTAAGTGGTACTTTGGGGATTGTTATAAGTATAAGCTTGTGCGTATGGCCAAATTCTGCACTATAGTTACTCGTTTATTGCCTTAATTTGTTCTTTTCAAGAGCAGTGAAGTGAAGCCAGAACACAATGTCTGTGTGTAAACATGTTAAAAGAAATTCATTCCCAATATCTGGATCCAACTCCAAATCTCTGAACATTTTGGGCCCAAAATGAACCCTATAATTTAACCCAATTGATATACTTTGGGAATTTTTGAGTCATGATCGTTCCATAATATTATCAAGGGAACTAACAGGAAAGAAAGAATTAAACAAATTGGGTCAAAAGAGAGAGAGAGAAAGCAGTAGCCATAGACCCCTACTACCACCGCCACCACTAGCAGGAAAGTTACATAGTGCACCTTTAAACAAAATTACAGTCCACTCAATGATGCTAATGATTTACTGTGTTGACCTCAGAAAGGAAATAAGCCAGGGTAGGGTTAAGTTTTTTCCTGACATTTTGAAATATGGCCCTGATCCACTGCTCTTTCTGAAGCTCTAATTAAAACTGACTTTGGGGCCTGTGCTATGCAGCCGCTTATGGAGAATGAACGGCTACTTCACCTTCATATTTGAGTGTGTGTATGGGGCAGTATGGGCCTGGTTTCCTCTTTGGGACCGCTCCTCTCTGTAATTGTGTGGAATGTGGTTGGGTGTGCGTTCAGAGCCAGAGGTCACCCACTTTGATGTATTTCCTCTTCTCTGGGTCTTTGAAGTTATGACTGAAAAAAGTTCATGTGATCGGGAGGATGCAGCTTTCTCATACTGTGTGTCACTGTGACCAATGCTATCAAGTATAACCACTTTTACAGTTTCTAATTTAATACTCTGACATTTTCAAAACATCATGACGGACCAAGATATTTTTTACATGTGATAACTATCTAGAATCTCTCTGGTTTAAAATTAAGATGGGGGCCACGTCATAATTCAGTGGTGGTCTATTCACATGAAAGCAAGATCTGACACAAAGTTCAGTGTCTTCTCCAGCATGAATTAGCAAAAGGAATTCTTTGTAAACCATAAGATCATTGTGGTATGTTTGTGGTGCCAATAATTATAAGGTTCAACATTTGGGGGGTCATGAGCTGTTTCTTCCAAAAACAGTAAATCTATCAAAGTGCCCTCCCTGTGCTCCATTTGAAATTGTAATTGTAATGTGGTGTGAATGACGCATTGCATTTATTTGATATAATGCATTTTTCTACTATCAGCACTGCAACTAGAAGAAAGATGGCTACTATGACAGTATTTTTAAGTTCAAGTGTTTTATTAGAAAATAGAAACCATATTTTGAAGAAAAGTGTAAATCATTACAGTTTATTATAGTGTCAATCAAGAATGCTCTTTGCACTACCAGTGCCTGATAAGAAGAAGTAGCAGGGTTAGGGAGGACATCTGACATAAAACAGAACAGAAGAATAGTTCTATATATTATTGACTAATTGGCGTACATGTTGATTAGACATACAAGTAAG